AAAAAAAAAAAAAAAGTTGTTTAGCTGTAGAAACTCAGGGTGGATGAATGTGGGGTTCTACAGAGAAGGAAAAGCTGCCTGCAGCATCAAGCCCCTCAAGGCTTTTTTGAACTGGGACTGAGATTCCTTCCTGCCTTCTGTTTGAAGTCGTCTCCACTGAAATGAGAATAAGCTGCTGGGTGTGAAATTTCCCAAGATAAATGTATGTAAAATGGGTTTTCAGGATGCTTTACCACTATCTGGAGCACAAGAGGAAGGAGAGCTCACCTCAGCTCCACGCCACCTACCTCGTGTCTGGAAAGCTGGAGGGAAATGGTCAAACTGTGAGTAAGAGGAACTCCTCGGATGCTTAAGGCATCTTGTTAAAAAGCAAGAAATAACGTTTTCAAGTTCTCTTCTCTTCTTTTTAGTGTCACCACGTGTCTCTAGTCAGAGAGGACCAGTTGGAAGGTTTGTAAATATGACATCTCTGTTCGCTCTTTGTTTATTTTATTCCAAGAACTTGGATAAATAGACCATTTTCCTGGCACTTTATTTGATTAACATCTGTTTTCCTCTGCAGATTTTAAATCTAAGATGAGCTTGATCGTAAGCGTTCACGTCTACAGCGTGCAGAAAGCTTTGCTCAAAGACAGCGGCCCCCTCTACAGTGTCGACTATGATGCTGTCAAAGACAACCTGAAGAACTGCAGCAAGTATGTTTGCTGTTACCACAAAGAGACATCTGCTGATTTTAATCAATTAAGCTGAGGAAAACTTTTTGGCTGTCTCTCTTATAGATACAGCTCCATCCGATGCACCAATGCGGTGCCCATGTCGGCTGCAGAGCTGCAGCAGTTCCAGGATGTTCAGCGAGCTCCTCCACCCGTGCCTGAGAGCAAAACCTCTGTAACGAACGGGAACTCCAGTACGGCATCCAAACCCTCAAGTAAACCGCAGAAAGGCATCATGGGAATGTTTGCAAATAAATCTGCTCCCAAAAGCCAGGATAACAGCAAAGAAGTGAAATCTGAACAAAAAGAAGAATCCTCCTCTGTGGTATGACCTTTGTTGCTTATAGGCAGCTGTTTTTACTGAAAAGTCAAGTTCTAGATGTTTCTCTTTTGTCTTTCAGACAGAGGCAGTGAAAAGCAAACAAGCATTGAAGTCTAATCCAGTGGCCAACTTCTTTGGAACTCAGACAAGTAAGTTACATTACTGGTGATATGCAGGAGTCCCCTGTAATGTTGAAAAGCATTCAACATGGCTAATGCTACTTTCACACCGCAAGCAGCACGAGCAATCCTTTCTTTGCCTGTAACAACCAGGCAGCTATATTTCCCGTTATCAGTGGGTAAAAAGTTTTAATATGTTTTTAAGTGAGAAAGTCCATGTCAGAACTTCATCTGTGCAGTCAGTTCATCAAGATTACGATATTGCCTTAAAATATGTCGGAGCCGCTCAGACCCCGGTACACCGGTGGTGCGCTGTCACCGGAAATCCCTTTCAATGGCATCCTCTGACCTGGTCACCTCTTTGTGGTTTTCCGCTACTGTTCGTGGCATTAGACGTTTTGAGTAACTTTTGGCGTTATTAAGCTGTTTCAGGAGACTGATCAAAGTGATCTGCATCAGCAATGCTGTGTCTGTCTCCCTGCCAGCTCCAAGATCAGCTTCTCTGATTGGTTGATGTGGCACGTTGGACAGCAAAAGTTACATTTTTCGAAGTCCAGCAGCTTCTGCTTCTGAATTATACGTGTCAGCTGCTCTAAAGCTCATGACGCGCTGTTCCTGCTGCCTGGGACCTTTTGCTGCTCCTTGACTCGCATCAACCGTTGACTTTGCGTGTAAACCAGCTGCTTCTGCTGCCTCTGCCGCTTGCGGTCTGAACGTAGCATTAGTTTACCAAGTAAAAAATGGATATAAAAAAAAATTTATTTGTATTTCTGGACTTTATCTTCCACGACAGAGTATTAGGGCCAGGCTAGAGAATTTTTTTTAAATTAATTTTGAGTATAAAGTTGTATCATTACGAGAAATAAGTTGTAATATTACGAGGATTAAGTCATCGTACAACAACCCGTTTGTGAAAGAAACCTTTGAGCTCCATTCAGCATATGATGGCTGACCAGCTCCACCAAATAGCAACCTGGGTCCACTTTGACTTCCTAGCTAATTTGATGCTGGTGCTAAAAGATTTCCTTATTTGTTAAACCAGAGCCAAAGTTCTAACTTCACATAATGCTCAACATTCCTCATTTTAGGGAAGAAACACTTCTTGTAAGAGTTTCTCATAATTTTAGGACTTTATTCTCTTAATATTAAGTCTTTATTTTCGTAATGTTACGCCTTTATTCTCGAAACAGAAAGGTAAAAATCTCTATCCTGGCCCTATTCATCATCATTTTCAAGGTGGACATTTCCATGCTTCTGAGAGATTTAGGTTTAAGTTAATCCTTCAATATTAGAAAAATATGGAAGCAACAGCAACATTTTGAAGAAGGGATGCACGATATAATCGGCCCCCTATCGATATCGGCCTTAAAACTGAATATCGGACATCGGCCACCCCACCGATATTTAAACCGATTTGGATCAGCTTCTGAGTTTCTAAAGTCTAAAAAAAGTAAAATAAATACTACTTCTTCTTCTTCCTCAAAAACTTCTTTTTTACAGACTTAAAAACTTCTAAAGACGAGGGAAAAATATTGATACATTTAAATATCACAATATGTTCATATGCTGATATATTGCCATTTAAAAACACCATATCAATCTCTTTTACTAATGAAATATTGCTATATGTCATCGTTATGC